GAGGACCAGAGCTGCCTAGAATTTCATCTAAGTTTGTGGCCTTGGAAGCCAATCACAGTATTACAATTGTGAATATTTCACGGCACCTGGATTATTTATTCTGTACAACGAGAGAGCACATCTACAATCCCATTATCCTGTCCAGGTGTGTGACATACCAAAAACAAGCCGCGAAGTGCGGCGGTGGGGCAATGTGGCAGGCCAGAGCCAATTGGGACAGAGGCCGGCTGCGGTAGCACGCGCCGTCGTGCACTGTGGGTCCATACCTGGAAGGAGTCGCTGCGACCGAAAGGAAGACATGCACCAAAGACGCCGTCGCCTGGATTGAAGAACCTCTGTAAGAAACAACAACTAAGACCCTGCCATGGGTGCCTGATAGGTAGTCCCTTCCCCTCATTGTGTGTGTGGCCCTAGTAAGGTAATGTAATTAATAATTGTACAATGTAAACCGCTCAGAGCCCTTAGGGGGTGAGCGGTCTATAAATTGAAAGTTAAATAAATAAATAAAAAATAACCAAAAAACAACTCAGACAACTTCTTCACCCTGGAAGATTTCGTTTGCTATGAACTGATAATAAACTTCCCATTAATCTGATCATTACACCGAAACTTTACAGATGAGTTCCCCAGATATGGAGTCTAAAAGAAGACTCTTTTCTTGAGAGGAAAAAAAATGCTAAGAATATGAGATCCTCAGTGAGATCCTTGTTCTGCCCCAAAAGCTCACCAAATGACCCTGGCCTGGTCTCCATCCCTCAGACAAACCCGCCTCACAAAGTTGCTTTGAGGATGAAATGGAGGAGTAAAGAACAATGCAAAAAGCCGCTTGAAGTCCCAATCAGGGAGAAAGGCAGGATATGGATTTTTTTAAAAAATTAAAACACGTTTTTATTAACGGGATATAAAACAAGTCCAAAATTAACCAGTTCACCATTTCTTAATACATCCCTTTTCCCTTTTCCCTCCCACCCCTTCTCCAGGCTTCCCGCAGCATTCCCACCCCCACCACATTTCCTCTCTTAATCTTTCCCTTCAGTTTGATATTATTTAAAGGTTCACAATTTCTTTTACTACCTTACTTATATTTTTTCAGTCTCATAGGTAACCTATTCGATAATTTCTTTCCAACATTTCCAAAGTCTATTCTTAATAATTACTAAAGCAAAACAGTTTATTTTTGACATCCCAATGTTTCTCTATATATTCTTTAAAGTCCTTCCAATCCGCAAAAAATTCTTCATCTTCTTTATTGCTCAACTTTCTTGTCATTTTATCCATTTCAGCCATAAAGAGTAGCTTCCTTATCCATTCCCCTAATTCAGGTATTCTTTCTTGCTTTCAACATTGAGCATATGTCATTCTGGCCGTTGTAATCAAATACCATAACAATGTTCTCTTTGTTACATTCACTTCTTCCATTTTAAGACCCAAAAGTAATACTTCTGGTTCTTTTTTGAAAGAACATTTCAAAATTTTCTGCATTTCATTATGGACCTCCGTCCAAAAGTTCACAGCTCTATCACAAGTCCACCACATATGATAAAAGGAACCTTCTGCTTTTTTACATTTGCAACATCTGTTAGACATATTATCTCTCCTTATATATAATTGAATAGTGGGTGCCAAAGTTCTAATTCTAAAATGCACTCCCTTAGTGTATGGCTGATGGCACTGTTCCTCAGCATATATCGCCACCAATCAGAAGGCAAAGCCCGGGTGCCGCCCACACCACAACTGCTGCGACAACCTGGTCTTTTGCATATGGAAGCTGATTGGACTTCAGTCCATTCCACACCTCAAACTCCCCCCCCCCGCAAGGCAGTTGGAAATTTCAGTTGCATATTTCATAGGGGAGAGGAGAATGGGTAACAATGGTTACCACTCTCCAGGTGAGGGCTACAGATAACTCAAACATACAAATGCTCTTCAGGTAGCAGAGATCAGTCCCTCTGGAGAAAACCCTGCTGAGGTCGCCACAGGAAACTGACACTGTTTGCCCAAAGCCAGAGCACTCTCCCAGAGCCTCTTTCTAGATCCCGTTGTATTTATTTCCGCAACGGGCATTATTTCTAGTCACTCATAATGGCAATCTTTTTGGGCGTCATATACCATCTATACATCATTTTTTGATATGGATTTTAAAAAGTAATCCCAGCCTAATTTCTGTCAGGAGGCCACCACTTGGTGACAATATCCCCCACAGTAAACCTCCAAACCGACTGAATGAATCATAGAATCATAGAATGTTAGAGTTGGAAGGTCATCTAGTCCAACCCCCTGCACTCTGCAGGAGCATAGCCGGAAGATGGTTGTTTGGTGTAGTGGTGAAGTGCGTGGACTGTAAAGGTTTGATTCCCCACTCCTCCACTTGCAGCTGCTGGATGACCTTGGGCAAGCCATGGTTCTGACAAGAGCTGTCCTTGAAAAAGAGCAGTTTCTGTCAGAGCTCTCTCAGCCCCACCTACTTCCCAGGGTGTCTGTTGTGGGGAGGGGAAGGGAAAGGAGTTTGTAAGCCGCTCTGAGACTCTTTTGGGTAGTGAAGGGCGGGGTATAAATCAAATCTCCTCTTCTTCTTCGTCCAGCCTCCGCTTGAAAACGTCCAGCGAAGGAGCATCCACCACCTCTTTAGGCAGTCTGTTCCACTGCTCAACCACTCTTACAGTTAGGAAGTTTCTCCTGATATTTAGCCAGTATCGACTCCCTTGTAACTTCCACCCATTAGATCTAATCTCGCCATCCAGAGCAAGAGAGAATAGATCTGCTCCATATTCTACTTGATAGCCCTTTAAATATTCGGTATGGATTTGGTATTCCACTTCAAGGAGCAGCATTTCTATATTGTTTTTGTCGTTTTTATTATTACCATTCTCATAATCATTGGTAGCATTGTGATAATGACTACGGATATATTATTAACATTCTAACACAGTAGAAACCCTTACCACATTAGCTAGCCTTTCCACATCTGATTTGTAACTTTAATGTCAGGTTGTTCTGCCTTCAACCCCTTCATAGTACTACAGAACATGCTTTCTGATGCAATAACTTACAGGCCAAATGCTGGCGTCCTAGTTACTCCTAAAGCTGTTTCCGCACACATTTCCCAGACCCAATGCAGTATGCTCAATGGTCTCTCAATCCCTGCAAGACAAGATCCATCAGGCAGCATGAAGCTGCTAATGAAGCTAACTCAATGCCAACGAAAAGACAAGTTGTTCCGCTGGATGATCCACTTTTCTCAGCAGCAAACTCTGTCATCTAAGTGAAGGAAGAAGGTAAGAAGGAGTTGGTTTTATACCCCACTCTTCACTACCTGAAGGAATCTCAGAGTGGTTTACGGTCACCTTCCACTTCTCACAACAGACACCCTGTGAGGTAGATAAGGTTGAGAGAGCTCTGAGAGAACTGTGACTGGCCCAAGGCCAGCCAGCTGGCTTCATGTGGAGAAATGAGGAATCCAACCCGGTTCTCCAGCAATGCTCCCTCTAAGCTGTGGAGTCTTGTCAGAAAAATTCTACTTTGTGAGCTACCCTCATTATGGTTGTGAGTGAGCGATTTGGCTACTGCATACATTAGTTTGCTCTGGAGCCATCCTTCCTGCGCTCAGACAAAAACGTGTGAGCCGGAGGCTAAAAAACTGTGAGCTAGCTCACACTATCTCAGCTTAGAGGGAACACTGAAGTCCGCCGCTCTTAACCACTACACCACAGCTGGCCCTCTAGCACTAGTTAGGGCCCTTGAGCCCTTCCAATAAATTGTTGTACACATAATATATAGCTATGGTTGTCTGCTAATGGGATACTTCAGCATCATATTGAACCTTTCATACAGAGAGCAAGAAATGAAACAACCTGTAGGTAGAGTCTTGTCTATGTGATAACTTGCCCTTGAAAGAAAAACCCAGCCATTAGAATGGACAGGAAGGTAACAGAAATCTATAACATACCAATTGGTACTAAAAGATCATTGGCTTACATTTTTTAAATGCAGTTAATAATGCAGTTAATAATGTCTTGTATTATACGTGGAATGAGGGAACAGTGCTATCCTGTCCAAATATAGAAACGTGATACAGAGTTACATACCAGGTGCCCCTTACACTTTTGACCGAAATGCAGTTAATAATGTCTTGTATTATACGTGGAATGAGGGAACGGTGCTATCCTTCCTGTTTGAAAGAGAAATAGCCCTATAGCGTTAGCCATTTAAGGTACAGAGGATTCGAGGGAAGAATGCCTAGAGGCTGTAAATAGGAAACAACTGGGTACCGGGTTGACTCAAATTTGGAGAGGAGTGGCGCGGTTGTCTGTGATCTGTTGAGGGAGTCCGAGATCTTAGCCATGACGAAGTGATCCCATAGCTTGTCCTGCCAGGCCGTAATTGATGGTGCTGTTGGGGGCTTCCAGTAAGTGGCAATTGTTAAGCAGGCTATGGCGAGCAGGGTCGAGACAAGGTCTTTCCGGTGACTTTGGATCGAGTTGTCCCAATGATTCAATAAGAAGATCTCAGGTGTGAAGGTGGCGTTTTGTGATGTGATGATCTCAATCAGTTGTTTAATGGCTTTCCAAAAATGTTGAATCTTCGGGCACGACCACCAGCAGTGCAGGTGAGTCCCTTCCTGCCCGCATCCTTTCCAGCACATTGGCTTACATGAAGCTAACAGCAACTGGAATGCGTTTGCCAAGATGTTTGCGAGCTTGTCTCACAGCCAGGGCTTGAGAAAGTCTCAGAAAGCCTGTTACAAGACAATGGCCTATAAAATATTTGGCAAGAAGGAGCAGAGCCCTCTCCAGCACTCTCTGTAGTGATTATTAAGACACAACCCAGCCCTCGGGCACCTGCGAAAGTTGGGCGCTTGGTTAACAGTGCTCTTTGAAACTCCTTGCAAGAGTGCAGCATGTATGAAAACAGTTCGTCTTATTAACAGTACTTATCATTTCCTCCCCACTTATATAATGGGAGATGTATGAGCTCACAGTCATGTAGTCACTTCACCCTGGGACTGCAAAGGCACAGTTTGTAAGCCCGTTTTTGAAGACCTGATGGCATCACTATGGGATCTCCTGTGGCCGGCGTTAGCCATTCTGCTCATTGGCATTTGCCTGCTGCTGGCCTGGGCAGTTTGCTACCAGTTCTTCACAACGGAAGTTCCTCCAGGAATCTGTCAGCCTCTGAAGATCAGAATAGTGCATATCACAGCGTCCATGGGCTTCGCACTGGTAAGGGACTTGGAACGCTCGTTTATTTACTTTATTTATTTTGAGATTTTTATTCCGCCCTCCCCAAAACAGGGTCAGGATGGATCACAAAGAGAGAGAGAGAGAGAGAGAGAGAGAGAGAGAGAGAGTTCAAGTCTCACTACCATAAAATCACATTAAAATCATTAAAACGATAAACAATAAAATTGCACAGGTAGCGACAATTTTAAATAAATCTGTTCGGGCCACAAGGTGGAATCAGATGGGCCCTTTTAGTGGGTTGGGAACTAGAGCAGGGAGGGCAGCTGATATGGATGCTCACCGCCTCACCCGAAGACCTGGCAGAACAGCTCCATTTTGCAGGCCCTGTGGAACAGTAGAAGGTCCCGCTGGGCCCTGATCTCCAGTGGGAGCTGATTTTACCAGGCCGTAGCCAGGGCAGAAAAAGCCCTGGCCCTGTTCGAGGCTAAGAAGATGTCCTTGGGCCGAGGGTAACCAGTAAGTAGGGTTGCCAAGTCAGAATGACCTTTTAGCAGGGGGAGTCCTACACCTCCCTGGGAGTCTTCTTGCGTGCGCGCGGCGTGCACCACGATGAAGCCACCCGGAAGTGACGTCATCGCGCTGGGCACGTTGGGGGTGGGGCCACAATCATTCGAGGGAAAACCATAGAGTTTTCCCTCGAATGATAGAGTGTCTCCCCACAACATGCCCGATGCAATGATGTCACCTCGGGGTGGCGTCTTCACGCAGGGCACGTCTCACACGGGCTGGTGGGGAACAGGCCTATCAAGTGGGGTTTCCCTGCCCCCCAGGGGGACCTACATACAACAAGTACCGTGCACAGATGATTATAACATATCATAAATAATTTTATATGTTATGAAAATCTTCTGTGCACGGTACTTGTTGTATGTTGGTTTTCCTACTTACCGTGGGTCCTTGTTTGGTTTTGTGAATTGCGGCCCCAGGGGGACCTGGCAACCCTACCAGTAAGTGTTGATCCTGTGAGTGCAAGGCTCTTTGGGGCACATATCTCCTTCAGATATTTATAAAAATATATCCTTCAGAACTTTAAAAAAAACACAACAAAGCTGTTCCCATCACTTTCAGAAGGTAGCCATCTTGGTCTACAGTAGAACTGCTAGGTTCGGGTCTACTAGCACCTTGGCAACCAACAGGGTTTTGGGGGTCTGAGCTTTCAAGATTCAAAGGTATCTGATGAAGGGAGTTTTGACACACGAAAGCTCACACCCCAAAATTGTGTTGGTCTCCAAGGTGCTACTGCACTCGAACTTAGAAGAGAAGAAGAAGAAGAGATTGGATTTATACCCCACTCTTCACTACCCGAAGGAGAGCAGTTTACAATCTCCTTTCCCTCCCCCTCCCAACAACAGACACCCTGTGAGGTAGGTGGGGCCGAGAGAGCACTTGCTCTCTTGAGAACTGCCCTTGAGAGAACAGATCTGAGAGAATTTGTGACTGACCCAAGGTCACACCAGCAGCTGCATGTGGAGGAGTGGGGAATCAAACCCGGTTCGCCCAGATTAGAGTCTGTGCTCCTGACCACTACATCTAGCCATCACAAAAAGAGTGTCTAGGAAGAGGCCAGACATAGAATTGCAAAGGTGGAGTGTGTGTGCTGAAAATAGCCCTAAGAACCCCTAGCAATTTGTCTGAATGTGTGTGGCTATACAACACATGCTTTTCATGGCCAGTGGGTTGCCTGGGGCAGCAAGGGAAGAGCCTTCCTTTCATAGTGTAATGTATCCAGTTTGACCGCGTGGCCAACCACATGGCCAGCTAGGGCTCCACGCAGTCAAGCACAAACGTCGAGCTTCGCTCAAAAAAACAAAGGACTAAACGGATCCTAGCCCGGACTTATCTGAGGGCTAGGTTCCCGGCTGAAAGCCTATGGAACTCTCGGACACTGTAAATAACCTATTGGGAAGTGGGTGGGTGTTTTGGGTAGTGGTTTCATGGTATAAGCTGGCCTGCGAGCTGGCTAAAGTTCTCTTGTTCCTCACTAAATAAAGTAAGTTTGCTGAAATCACTCTCCGATCTGCGTACTTTTCACATAGCAAAGCAACAAAGATCAAACAAGAACTTAAAGGGGGGGAAAACAGATTACTAATAATGGTGTTGGGAAGGTATAGCCCCATCTCATCAGATCTTGGAAGCAGGGTCGATACTTGGAAGGGAGACCAGTCCGTTTGCTGAAATCACTCTCCGATCTGTGTACTTTTCACATAGCAAAGCAACAAAAATAAAAATAAAAACGTAAAGGGGGGAAAAACAGATTACTAATAATGGTGTTGGGAAGGTATAGCCCCATCTCATCAGACCTCGGAAGCAGGCTCGATACTTGGAAGGGAGACCAGTCCAAAGCTCCCTCTAAGCTATGGAGCCCTGTGAGCAAAACGTTCTACTTTGTGAGCTACTGGCATTAAAGTTTTGAGCAGGTGATTTGGCTACTGCATAAGTTAGTTTGCTCTGGAGCCATCTTTCCTGAGCTAGGACAAAAATGTGTGAGCTCACACTCATTCAGCTCAGGGGGAACACTGGAGTCCACCAAGGAAGACTCTGCAGAGGAAGGCAATGGCAGACCACCTCTGCTTCTCACTTGCCTTGACAGCTCAATGATGAGGTTGTCATAAGTCGGCTGCAACCCGACACACAAGGATAGTGTCACTCATGTCTCATTTCTCCGAGTGATGAGAACTTACAGGAGGAGCCCCAAAGACTTGGGTTTGTTGGTAGTATTAAGAACATAAGAGAAGCCAATGTTGGATCAGGCCAAAGGCCCATCCAGTCCAACACTCTGTCACACAGTGGCCAACAATACCAGGTGCCATCAGGAGGTCCACCAGTGGGGCCAGGACATTAGAAGCCCTCCCACTGTTGCCCCCCCCCCAAGCACCAAGAAGACAGAACATCACTTGCCCCAGAGTCCCTATCTATACCTTGTGGCTAATAGCCACTGATATTCCCTCTGTTTTGAGATATGCGGGTAGAGCTCCATTACCTTCAGGCCTCCTTCAGGTGTGCTGGCCAGCTTGTGAAATGTTGGAGGATGTGCACCTGCTCAACTGGAAGATCTTCACAACATACCTTTAAATTCAGTTGTGTGTTTACATGTCTGCAGTAAGTAATTTCTGTGTTCTCTGCTATTGTCAACAGGAGTATATTTTCTGGAAAATGGGTCTCTGTAAAGCTTTTACCATTTTGAGGATCCTGGTAGATGGAATTCCACCAATGGCAGACCCAAGTCTATTTATCAAGAATGTACACTTTGAAGATGTACCGGTGAGGGTCTACAAAGCCAAAAGGCATTCTCCTGAGAAGAGGAAAGGAATCGTGTTTTTTCATGGAGGAACTGGCGCGATTGGAAGCATTGGTAAAAAAAAAAAAAAAAAGCAAAAAGCACCACTTTACAATAGGAATTTTGAAAGAAGGTTGATCATGGTATATAAATATATACCACTAATCATGGTTTATACATATATCAGGGCTATTTTTGGGCAGGAACGCACAGGAACGGAGTTCCGTCTGGCTTCAGAGTTGGCCATGCCTACTACAGCAAAAACATCTGTGTGCCTGGCTACAGAGGGAAGGCCTGGAGAGTGACCCCCCCCTCGGCAACTCTGAGGTGGGCGGGCCGGGGGGCCCCTGGAAGGATTGGGGAGGCATTTAAATCCCTTCCCCAGCCTGTCCAAGGGCCAGCTTGCCCGGGTGCCCCGCAGCCGTGGGACACCCAGGCAAGCCCCTTCCTTTCAAGGGGGGGCTTGCCTAGGCCATGGGGTGTGGCCTAATATGCGAATTAGTTCCTGCTGTTGGGTGTGGCCTATTATGCTAATTAGTTCCTGCTGGGCTTTTTCTACAAAAAAAGCCCTGTACATATCTATACAGTTGCTCTGTGACCTTTTGTTAAGATTAACCTTAACTGTAATCTTTTGTTCAGATTAACCTGAAGTAGCTCTCAATAAGGAATCATCTACACCCATTAAGGAAACCTAACGTTCTTTTGTCATAAGCCCTGACTTCCACTAGGAGTTTTACTGCAAGGCAAACCATACTGAATGTGACACACCCATTCACAGTCACTCACAACAATTTTTTTTTTAGATGCATATGAAAGAGT